TCCCGCTGACAGCCTACTGTACGGCAATTTACACACAGAAACAAACTCGGGCAAAATGTTCTTGCTTATGTCACATTTTCTCCACGAGTGTTGGGTCTAAGGACTTTAAACTTATTGGACGTTGTAGCCAGACTAACTAGCTCTCCATACATGTCAAAAAAATCAAGAATTTTTCATATCAAGATACCGTCAAGACGAGATATATCAAATAAACACACCACGGAGTGAATCCCGCTGACAGCCTACTGTACGGCAATTTACACACAGAAACAAACTCGGCCAAAATATTCTTGCTTATGTCACATTTTCTCCACGAGTGTTGGATCTACGGACTTGAAACTTGTTGGACGTTGTAGCCAGACTAACTAGCTCTCCATACATGTCAAAAAAATCAAGAATCTTTTATATCAAGATACCGTCAAGACGAGATATATCAAGTAAACACACCACGGAGTGAATCCCGCTGACAGCCTACTGTACGGCAATTTACACACAGAAACAAACTCGGCCAACATTTTCTTGCTTATGTCCCATTTTCTCCACGAGTATCAGGTCTACAGACTTCAAACTTGTAGGACATTGTAGCCTGACTAACTAGCTCTCCATACATGTCAAAAAAAATTAGGAATTTTTCATAACAAGATACCCTCAAGACGAGATATAGCAAGTAAACACACCACGGAGTGAAGCCCAGCCTACTCTATGGCAATTTACGCACAGAAACAAACTTGGGCAAAATTTTCTTGCTTATGTCACATTTTCTCCACAAGTGTTGTGTCTACGGACTTTAAACTTGTTGGACGTTGTAGCCAGACTAACTAGCTCTCCATACATGTCAAAAAAATCAAGAATTTTTCATATCAAGATACCGTCAAGACGAGATATATCAAGTAAACACACCACGGAGTAAAGCCCGCTGACAGCCTACTCTATGGCAATTTACGCACAGAAACAAACTCGGGCAAAATGTTCTTGCTTATGTCACATTTTCTCCACGAGTGTTGGGTCTAAGGACTTTAAACTTATTGGACGTTGTAGCCAGACTAACTAGCTCTCCATACATGTCAAAAAAATCAAGAATTTTTCATATCAAGATACCGTCAAGACGAGATATATCAAATAAACACACCACGGAGTGAATCCCGCTGACAGCCTACTGTACGGCAATTTACACACAGAAACAAACTCGGCCAAAATATTCTTGCTTATGTCACATTTTCTCCACGAGTGTTGGATCTACGGACTTGAAACTTGTTGGACGTTGTAGCCAGACTAACTAGCTCTCCATACATGTCAAAAAAATCAAGAATTTTTTATATCAAGATACCGTCAAGACGAGATATATCAAGTAAACACACCACGGAGTGAATCCCGCTGACAGCCTACTGTAAAGCAATTTACACACAGAAACAAACTCGGCCAACATTTTCTTGCTTATGTCCCATTTTCTCCACGAGTATTAGGTCTACAGACTTCAAACTTGTAGGACATTGTAGCCTGACTAACTAGCTCTCCATACATGTCAAAAAAATTAGGAATTTTTATAACAAGATACCCTCAAGACGAGATATAGCAAGTAAACACACCACGGAGTGAAGCCTGCTGACAGCCTACTCTATGGCAATTTACGCACAGAAACAAACTTAGGCAACATTTTCTTGCTTATGTCACATTTTCTCCACGAGTATTGGCTCTACGGACTTCAAACTTGTTGGACGTAGTAGCCAGACTAACTAGCTCTATATACATGTCAAAAAACATATGAATTTTTTATAACAAGATACCGTCAAGACGAGATATAGCAAGTAAACACACCACGGAGTAAAGCCCGCTGACAGCCTACTCTATGGCAATTTACACACAGAAACAAACTTGGGCAAAATATTCTTGCTTATGTCCCATTTTCTCCACGAGTATTGGGTCTACAGACTTAAAACTTGTTGGATGTTGTAGCCTGACTAACTAGCTGTCCATATATGTCAAAACAATTACGAATTTTCCATAACAAGATACCCTCAAGACGAGATATAGCATGTAAACACACCAAGGAGTGAATCCCGCTGACAGCTTACTGTACGGCAATTTACACACAGAAACAAACTTGGGCAAAATTTTCTTGCTTATGTCACATTTTCTCCACCAGTATTGGCTCTACGGACTTCAAACTTGTTGGACGTAGTAGCCAGACTAACTAGCTCTATATACATGTCAAAAAAATTAGGAATTTTTCATAACAAGATACCCTCAAGACGAGATATAGCAAGTAAACACACCACAGAGTGAAGCCCGCTGACAGACTACTCTATGGAAATTTACACACAGAAACAAACTTGGGCAAAATATTCTTGCTTATGTCCCTTTTTCTCCACGAGTATTGGGTATACGGACTTTTAACTTGTTGGACGTTTTAGCCTGACTAACTAGCTCTCCATACATGTCAAAAAATTAGCATTTTTTTATAACAAGATACCGTCAAGACGAGATATAGCAAGTAAACACACCACGGAGTGAAGCCCGCTGACAGACTACTCTATGGCAATTTCCGCACAGAAACAAACTTGGGCAAAATATTCTTGCTGATATCCCATTTTCTCCACAAGTATTGGGTCTACGGACTTTAAACTTATTGGACGTTGTAGCCTGACTAACTAGCTCTCCATACATGTCAAAAAAATCAAGAACTGTTCATGCCAAGATACCGTCAAGACGAGATATATCAAGTAAACACAACACGGAGTGAATCCAGCTGACAGCCTACTCTATGGCAATTTACGCCAGAAACAAACTCGGGCAAAATGTTCTTGCTTATGTCCCATTTTCTCCACGAGTATTAGGTCTACGGATTTCAAACTTGTTGGACATTGTAGCCTGACTAACTAGCTCTCCATACATGTCAAAAAAATTAGGAATTTTTTATATCAAGATACCGTCAAGACGAGATATATCAAGTTAACACACTTCGGAGTGAATCCCGCTGACAGCCTACTCTACGGCAATTTACGCACAGAAACAAACTCGGCCAAATATTCTTGCTTATATCCCATTTTCTCCACGAGTATTAGGTCTACAGACTTCAATTTTGTTGGACATTGTAGCCTGACTAACTAGCTCTCCATACATGTCAAAAAAATTAGGAATTTTTCATAACAAGATACCCTCAAGACGAGATATATCAAATTAACACACCACGGAGTGAATCCCGCTCACAGCCTACTGTACGGCAATTTACACACAGAAACAAACTCGGCCAAAATATTCTTGCTTATGTCACATTTTCTCCACGAGTGTTGGATCTACGGACTTTAAACTTGTTGGACGTTGTAGCCAGACAAACTAGCTCTCCATACATGTCAAAAAAAACAAGAATTTGTTTATATCAAGATACCGTCAAGACGAGATATAGCAAGTAAACACATCACGGAGTGAAGCCCGCTGACAGCCTACTCTATGGCAATTTACACAGATAAACAAACTTGGGCAAATATTTTTGCTTATGTCCCTTTTTTTCCACGAGTATTGGGTCAACAGACTTCAAACTTGTGGGACGTTGTAGCCAGAGTAACTAGCTCTCCAAACATGTCAAAAAAAATAGGAATTGTTATAACAAGATACCCTCAAGACGAGATATAGCAAGTAAACACACCACGGAGTGAAGCCCGCTGACAGCCTACTCTATGGCAATTTACACACAGAAACCAACTCGGCCAAAATATTCTTGCTTATGTGCCTTATTCATCACGAGTATTGGGTCTACAGACTTCAAAGTTGTTCGACGTTGTAGCCAGACTAACTAGCTATCCATACATGTCACACAAATTAGGAATTTTTCATAACAAGATACCGTCAAGAGTAAGACGAGATATAGCAAGTAAACACACCGCGAAGTGAAGCTTGCTGACAGCCAACTCTCTGGCAATTTACACACAGAAACAAACTCGGGCACAATATTCTTGCTTATGTCCCATTTTCTCCACGAGTATTGGGTCTACAGACTTCAAACTTGTGGGACGTTGTAGCCAGTCTAACTAGCTATCCATACTTGTTAAAAAAAATTAGGAATTGTTATAACAAGATACCGTCAAGACGAGATATAGCAAGTAAACACACCACGGAGTGAAGCCCGCTGTCAGCCTACTCTATGGCAATTTACACACAGAACAAACTTGGGCAAAATATTCTTGCTTATGTCCTTTTTTCTCCACGAGTATTGGGTCTACGGACTTCAAACTCAATGGACGTTGTAGCCTGACTAACTAGCTCTCCATACATGTCAAAAATATCAGGAATAGTTTCATAACAAGATACCGTCAAGACGAGATTTAGCAAGTAAACCACCACGGAGTGAAGCCCGCTGACAGCCTATAATAATGGTGCCCTGTCACTGGTCATTTTTTTTGGCATTTAAATTTACTGTTTATGGAAGTACGTGTACTAAGGTTCCAGACCAGTAAACAGGCTGCAATAGACCTTTGGGGTAATTACGTGCACTTGCCCAGAACGAATAGAAAAATACCCACAACTCTTCAGGGTGTTTGAGACACACATCAAATTAAAGCCTATTTCATCTTTCATTTTCCGTTCAATTTTTTGGTGGTTAACCAATTACTTTTGGGAGAAGATAATCACCCCTCATTGCAGTCCTGAAACGGCCGTTTTGAAAATGGATGCATAAGCTCCATTGCAAAATCTGAGAGCCATTTTACATCCAAATAATTTTATCCAAATATCACAGAAATACGAGCTCGCAGTCATTTGCACAGCTTCCACCCTTCTTTTGTTTTTTACAAATCCCTCACACAAAATTATCTAGCAACTGAAAATTTAAGGGCATGCAAATCGTGATTTGGCTCGCGTATGCAATTCTGGGTCTATTTATCTGCACCCTAAGTATCAACTAATCATAGAGGAACAAAGACCCAGCGCAGATGTGACGTCATAAATGGGTCTTTTCATTTCGCAATATGGCTCAAGTTTAATTGCTGCGATTTTGTTGTATTCAGGTACGCATTGGGCGATGGAGGTAGTGAATCTCATCCTCGTGGACGGTCACGAAGATAAAATCAACCGGGCCCAGCAGTCCTACCCTGTGGAGTTCCACATACAACGACCGAACGCTCCCCCACCACAATATAAGACGATGACGGAGTGGAAGGCACCGCGGGTCATCATGACGCATCTGACGGAGGAGCTCATGCCGAGCCAGATTTACCAAGGAAAGGGCAAGGTAATAACACCGACAAACAAATTGTTAGTTTGCAATTCAACCGATCGATCAGGCTGGCATTAGCTGGCGTATAGCGGTACTTTTCTCGCCTTCCACCGCTGTGACCTGGGCTCGAATCCCGCCGCCCGGGCCAATATGTGGATTGGGTTTTCAGCCCCTACCTGATTCCGTGTGTTTTCTTCAGAATATTCCTCTGGGCTTTTCCTCCCACCTCTAAAACTGTAATTTCTTCTCATTGTCTTCTCTCTACATGTTTCTTCAGGCTATTGCGCTACAGTGCCTAGGTCACTTTTGAGGAATACTTGGTGTCATTACCAAAAAGAAATAAAATAAAAAAATTCATCAATCAATAAGGCCCACCCACTGCGCATGAGGGTAAACAAGTGCCCCTCCCCCAGCATGATTGCATGTTCAAGACGTGCGCGCGTCATAATGTGATGGTACGCCGGTTGCGGTGTATAATATCTGCAGCACACATCGTCAAGGGATCATGATTATTCAGCTAGTCCGATGTTTATTCATAAGAAAAAAATCAATGATGTCACGCCCTAGCTATCACTTAGTCATGCAGGTACATTAAAACATTTCAAAGAACGGCTTTCGTCGAGCTGCCACAGTGGCCTAGTAAATAGTGCAACGAACTTTCGATCGCAAGATCTGTGGTTCGAACCCATGTCCATTTTCATCAAATATTTTTGTTGGTTGGGATAAGTTTAATTGAAGTGAAATCACTACGAGAACCTTACCCGAAGTGTTTTCTATCCACACAGCGTGATACATATTTATGTTAGGGTGCGTGATGTGATTGGTTAAAATACGATGTATGCTGCACAAAATATACGGATGATCATCACGATCGTCTAAGCATAATCCGTTGCTCTGCGGAGCTCGCAAGTTCCGTAACAACGTCCGAATGTGAGCATGCCTTCAGAAATGTCGACGTCATTGGTTCAAGAGAAAGATTACTAGCTTGGCGGAAGCATGTTACCTAGCCCTGTAAAAACATCGTGCAATATTCACAAAATTCCGTGCGACCCATGCGCACGGAATGCTGTGACCTACCCACAATGCTTTGCGACGCTGGTATTTCCTTCACAAGTTTGCATGAAAAGGGATTAGCGGTTACCGACAAACGGTCTTGGATCGGTCGGGGAGCAGTCGGTAAATTCCTGTAGCAATTCAAATATTTATTGCATTTTCTCCCGCAATCATAGGTTGTGTATGTCATCAGAAATCCCAAGGATACCACTGTGTCGAATTGGAAGTTTATCGGACCGATGAACTTCGACCCCAAATATGAGAAATGGGACGACTTCGTCAGAGAGTCCTTCTCCGAAGACAGTAAGTTTGTTGAGCTTTGTTTTAAGCAGACAAAATATTAAAATATCAAAATGGACAAAATACGTGGATCCAATACAAATGTGTTGACCTAACATAATATGTCAATGTATCTCCAAAATACAGGAACATTACGTGGATACAAAACTAATTTCACAAGCTGAACAAAATATTGACAAAATCAAGAAAAAGGACGAAATTGTGCGATCCATGCTAAATCCTAACCGAACTGAAGAACAAATCCTACAAGTTTTGTAGAGAAGTACACATTCCGTTTAAATATTTGTTAAAAAAAAATGGCTTAGGATTGCCAGCGAAAAATGTCAAACTCAATATAATTATGCTCACCCTTATAATACGGAAAACAATTACTGCCGCGAAAATGTAAAAAACGAGAACACCCACAGATTGGTAATTTTCTCAAACTTCTTCTTTTTTTTTAATTCAAGTGTTGTTTGGGTCGTGGTTTACTCACGTGTTGAACTTCTGGAAGAAGCATCGTCATGACAAGAACTTCTTGTTCCTGAAATATGAGGACATGAAAAGAGTAAGTCGTGATTCCAGTTTCGTTTCTCTTCTTTCCTTTCAAAAATGTTTCTTCAAAATGAGCAATCCATTAGAGAACAAACCCACTGAGCCTGTACGCAACATCATGTGTGCATCTCCAATGCTCCATCTGCTTGTTGCCAGTAGCGCGCGTCGGATGCCCGTGCACGCGCGCGTGTCGAATGCGCGTGCACGCGCGCGTGTCGGTGTTTCGTGCAGGAATGTCGGACATCAATCACGGCTGTGATTGGTCTTTATTTCACTGGGCAGGGCTTCATGGATCGGTGTTCTGTGCATGTTATTACATAGGCTAATTACACACAATGATTCCTGTTTAGGAATCGTCAGTCTAATGACGATGGGTAAAGCATATAACAATGTACTGTATATCCGAAACGTTGAGTTTTCCTGATTCATTTCAGGGCCTTACAAACTCAGTAAGGAGATTTCGTCTGACATTTCTCAACCGGAAACTCATTAGGAAAAAAATATAGCCTTTACACTACATTTGTCTTTCAAACTGTTTTTCTTATTCATGTTTTACTCTATGCGAAAAAGGAACAAACTTAAGGACTGAATGACAAAATCCCTTGATTATCTTCAGTAGACTTTCTTTCAAGTTATTATTTTAACGAGACACGGCACCCTCATTGGGTTGTAAAAAATCGTATTTAAATCGGAGGATTCAGGACTGTTATGGCTTGCAAAAATGTGCAAATCAGGAAGTGGTATTTGAAAAATATATATATATTGGGTTGCTGCAACTAACAGACATGCAAACAATGAAATTATTTTTTTGTTGGAAAAAAAGGACCTCAAGGGAGCCGTCATACAGATTTCCGATTTCCTTGGGAAAAATCTCTCGGATGAAGCAATCGAACGGGTGGTCGAGTTTAGCAGCTTGAAAAGCATGAAGGCCCGCTTCAATCAAGCTAAGGAAGCCAAAGATACTAAAGAAGAGGCACCACAATCTGCACCAGCCGACAAAGCGAGTGCGCCCTCTGGCGACGGGGCAAAGGCAGCTACCAGTAGGAAGATTGGGGCGCCCTCGATTATCCGGAAAGGTGAGTTTCTTTCCGGTGTTTTCGGGAAGGGGAATGAGAAGCAAACTTGGGAAATTATTAATAAAAGGGGTGTTGTTGCGTTTTTGGTATGGATTGTGGGTTCGAGTCAAGGAGGTTATGTTTTCATCGGATTTGGTTAGCCTGTTGGTTGGTTGGTTGGTTGGTTTATCTGTTAACAAGAAAACTCGAAGTTGGAAGTAAGCCGGGATTTGGGTCTGGATCCAGCATATTTTTCTTTAAGGATTCTTCACCCAATATTTAAAAAAAATCGACCCGATTTCGAACAGGAAAGGTTGCCACTCTGAGTACGTGTGTGGGTAACGCAGCGTGCAGTCAATGAGCGCATAGCGCAAACACCATTGAAACCAAAAGGTCAATGGACTCGACCATTTGATACTCTGGGGGAGTGGAGAATGTGCAATAAAATATGGAATGTGCCAGTTCTTCTCTTGGGTGTACTGACAATATGGCGGGGAGATTGTTCAGCCATCGCGGAGCTTTGCGCTGCCTAAGTGCTTTCTAGCCACTAATAGCTTCACCCACCAAGGAGTAAATTGTGAGAGCAGAGGCGGTTACTGTGTTTGAATTTATGTGCCAAAATACCAGCAAATGTTAAGTTTGATCTGAAAAAGTCCTATAAATCGGTTCTATACAGTTTTGTTGTTGCACATTTTGTGCCAATGTACATGTTTCAAGCTGTCTTGTACTCGTTTCTCGTATTCTCTGAAATCTTAGGAATTGTTGGCGACTGGAAGACGATGTTCACCGTTGCACAGAACGAGCAAGTAGACGCTCTCTACCGAGAGAAAATGGCAGGGTCTGGATTGACGATACAATTTGAATAAAATAGGAAGACAGGGCGAGGCCCGATAGGCTTTTTGCACTTCTGGCTTTTCTCTTATTTGCATATTGTTCCTCAAGGGCTTACTTAAATTTTTATATATAATGAAAAGCGTTGTCTTGAAGCATTTACTTAGCTTTTAAGCGTGTTTAACTCATTTAATATAATTTTGATTAATGATTGATCAACCACAAGTAAAGCTTTATACTGGTCAACTAAGGAAATCCTTTCACACTTCGTGACTAGAGACTGGTGCCTTGTGTTTTTTGTTTGATGGACTTATGACTATTAGCCATGACTTGTGACTCCTTGCGATGACGTATGACGACTTGTGATGACTTATGGCGACTTGCGATGACTTGTGATCACAACTCTTCTCCTCGTGTTAAATAAGGAGAACAGTTGTGATCACAACTCTTCCCCTTGTGTTAAACAAGGAAAAGAGTTGTGATCACAAGTCATCGTAAGTCGTCATAAGTCATCGCAAGTCGTCATAAGTCTTAGCAAGTAGTCGTAAGTCATCATCGTAAGCTTGTTTAAGCGAGTGAGCTAGGCTTTCCGTCAATTGGTAATCATCAGCGTTTTATTTTCTGCCGGCAAGATTTTAAATGGTAAAATATTAGGGTAATTCTGTGCATTGCAATGTTTACTTTGTACGAAAGGCATTTGAAAACGACGCCTTTTTTTGAATTTGTGTAGCATCTAGTTTAATAGGGATTGTTTCAAGTACGTAAGTTGGCGTCTTGAGAAATTGTAGTTGTAGAAACGTCAAAACACCAAGGTTTGCACTGTGCCTTCCTATTCTGGTGTTGACGTGTGCATGACGAATAAATCTTGGTGAGTTTTTGATCATAAAGTAATCCTTCATTTTCATTATTCATGTTACTATTATTACAAAGACACTCTTTGCCAACGCAAAAACATTTTTATAAAATGTCAAATTCGATTATGCTTGTTCACAAATAAAATAATCAAGGACGTTTATCTTACGTGAGTTCATTTTGTTGAGAGCCGTTCATTATCATGAATCAAATTCACTGTATCATTTTAATTATAAAACGTGAAGTACTTTAACCCGTACAGCTGAAAATATGGCGACGCAACATGGTTAAAAAGTCAAGGTCGTGACGGTTGCCTAGATATTTTACTTGATACTCAATAATTGTACTTTAGAAAGGCGTCGTCGTGGAGATGTTACATGGTTCTTCAGACCGTCTCGTTTCAGTTTCTATAACTAGCGTTTCGAATTCTCGTAAGAGATTGAATTGCGCCATTATCGCAAACGGTTTGAACTGCTTTGTGCTCTTATCTGGGCCGGCCAATCGTCTGAAGGGTAATTTTCCTAAATCAAGTTCATAAAATTAACCCCGGTCAAAATGGTTTGTGTTTGCACGGCTCGTTCAATTCACATTCGGTTCCTGTTGACAGGACATCGCCAGTTTGCCGAGCACTTCAGAAGCCAAATGCTGCGGTCTATAGTTATGCGCTGTAGTCAAGATACGGGGTTTTTGAACAAACAGACTCGATAAAGGATGGCAATATTTTGATGGCGAGGTGACCCTTAAAGTCATTATGATCGACAGCTTTGGCAAAATATAGTGTACAACTACCAAACATCACAACCGGAGTTAATAAGAGAAGATGTCGTACATTGAAGTCAGTTTACCATGAACCCTTTTTCACACACTTTTCCCAAAAGAGAGCATTTTTTAAATACTATGGCACCTTTTTATAAGGAAGTTTTAGTACATGAGGCATATATTTACGATGTGCGCCGATAAGATTTCAAAAATGGATACGAGCACGTTGCAGGACGGATATAATTAACCAAGATCCGTTACTGAACTTTGGAGGGATATCTTAAGTTGTCCAACTTCTAACCATCATTCGTTGCCATGGATGTCGGAAACAAGACACGAAGGAGGAAAATCTCCTTCGAGACCAGTCGCACGGTTTTCACAGAGAAGGCCAACAAGGTGGAATCTCATCGGCTCGAGAAGCAACTCGCAACGATGGAGGCCGCGGCCCACAAGAACATGGTGCACCTGTTCCGTCGCAGGCTGAGCACCCAAGAGATGCTGGCGTGCCTTCAGCGGCAGGAAGGGGACAGCTGCCTGGCGGACCGGGAGAACCGACCGCGGCGGCCCGCTAAAAGTTCCACCGGTGACCGTGAAAACAGCACCGACGAAAACACCGACAAAATCACGGTACGGGGAAGATCTAGATCCATGGGTAGTGCGGACAACAGGGTGGAGCGCCATGATGCATCCATGACATTTGTTACCTCTCTAGGAGTTGAGGGACTAGATGATATAAAATCAAGGGATGATGTCTTTGAAGACTGCCTGCAAAATTTGAAGATCACCCCGGCGGAGCCGAGTGACGCCGACCTTGATGTACCCACCAAAACCCCCCAGATTTCAAAACGTGCTTCTCTACCAGCGCGGCCAAAATCAGCTCCTTTGCGATGGAGGCATCGCATAGAGAAGACCACGATAAGCGCACCTGACTCCACCATTTCGAGCAACGAGAGCTCTTCTGTCGACGTTCACAAGAATGAAACAGCTTCACAGAAGGATCAGACCAAAACCTCTCCCTTACTTCCCGTCAATATTTCTCAATACCAAGAGCCATCGGTGCGAGTCCCGCGCGGAACGAGACGACCGGTTCGACCCATCGAAGCACCCAAACCATCTCAGGAAGATACTGAGAATGCACCAGGGAGTCCTCGCATTGAAATACCTCAAGCAGATCGTGAGACAAAAGAGGATTCTCCAAGACAGCCACACAAGCCCCGGCTTTTGACCCGCGCGGAGAAGCTTGGAATGAAGCCAGTCCTCTTACTCAGTCCGGGAGTCCCTCAACAGAGACGCCAGCGGTCCAGTAGTACCGTCACCGGCCGACCTCCTGCCGATGCGATCGGCCCTTGCTCCACGTCCACCCCGGACAAACTCCTTCGACCCAACTCTGTGGTCCCGCGCGTAAGAAAGATCTCAGCGATGAGCCACGCAGAGTTTATGAACGATGCCATAAGATCCAAAGCCTACGGCATAACCGATCTTGACTCGCCTTCAAGCGGTGAGGAGGTTTCAGTGCTGCTGCCGTTGCGGCCCCACACTGCGGGTGGGGCACGAAAGTTGCACCGAGCTCTCGCCATCACGGATCAAAAACTGGATGTGAGAATGCAGGCTTTCTTGAAGCGACCGCTACCGGGAGAAACAAAACACAACTAGGTCATGTGCGAAGTGTTCTGAACACAGCCACAAGTTAAGCGATTCTGATGCCGTATCGACCTGGATTCAAAAGTCTCACTTTATGCCATTATTTATAAATCACGATTACTCAGTGACTCAATCAGTCAGTCAGGCAGTTAGTCTAAGAGTCAGTCAGTCAGAGACTCAGGACGGAAAGCTGGCCCTTTGGGTCAGGCAAAAAACCTTGATAACAATACCCATTTGGAGGGATAATGTCACACCCTAAAATAAGAAACTTTCAATTAAAGTGATTTTTTTTTCGAGCATTATCTTTTCAATGAGACATCGAATGCTAAATTTGGTCTATGACAAACGACCGATTGAGTCATACTCAGATTATGAATTAATAGGATTAATAGAGGCATGCGACTATAAATAATTTATAAAAGTTTCAAAATTTATCTCAACAGACTGTCTCTATTCCCGAGTCGGCCATATCGAATTAAGGTAAACTCTTCATTTATTGAACTTGCGAGTAGAAACGAAAGCATTGAAATACAAGTAAGTTTCAAATTAAAACCAGTCTGCTCTGGTGAATAATTAAAAATTGGTGATAAAACATATAATACTTTAAGCCACATTTTAAAAAAGAAAAAAACGTGAGGCTTGAAATGCACTCCAATAATGAAACAGTCTGGTACCGTACCATTCAACAGTATACAATTTATAAAATGGATTCGGGGAACACGATCCAAAATGGCTGCCTCGGGAATAAGGTCTATACATGAGATTGTATTTCAGTATTCGAGTGTGTTTCATACTTGATAGTAAACGGTAGTGTGAAGTAGGCCGGTTTTTTTTTTTTCAAAAACAAAAATATAATAATTCTCTCCCTTTTGGTCGGAGATTGATATGTTTTCCCCATAAAATCATATATTGCATGCCTTTGATTTCTATGGAATGTTGTAGAAAGGTGCATTATAATGCATTATAATGAAGGAAATTATAGAACCATCGAATACATTGTACTGTTGTTTTTTGGTTTTTTTACCACTAATTCAATTCCTTCCGTATATCTTTGTTAGTTTATTTGTGCATGAAAATGAGTCTATGACCAACCACTACAATGAGCTATTCGCGCAGTACGCGCGACGTGCGCGCCAGTCTCAATACAAGGTATGTTGTATAGGGACATACCACAATATAGAAAGAGTGTTTTTTTGTGTGAAAAATATGAAGTAAAATTGATAAACAAAATCGTTGGAAATGTATAATTTTTTACTTATTTTGACTTTTGGACCGAAACTTTTTGATATTTTCACCAGCTCGGGTAAATACCAGCATCCAGACTCCAAACGGTCTTGAACATAGTGTTTAAAACCGGCCAAGCACGCATTTATTCCCTTATTAACATTTCAAGGAGATGACGTGAGCAAAGAAAAGTGAAAAGAGAACTTTTCAATTGAATCAATGAGCTACTGTTTAAAAGCTCCATGCTTTAATTGAAACCAGAACAAGTGTCTCATTACTGCCGAAAAATTAAGGAAGTGAATATTTGCACATAATTATGTGTAATTTAATGGCCCTTTTTGTTGTATAATTGCGCATGAGAATAATAGACCTACTGGAGTAATCAAGCGCAAACAGCCGATCAATTATTTCTTGTTGTCTCGGGAATTATCTTAACGACCCTGGCAATTAACCGTTACTGGCGCGCATGGCCATAAACTAACAACGACTGTAAATGGGTTCAACCTTGGCCTTGGACGTGCCAATGGCAAACCGACGAAGTGAGTCTGAAAGACATAAAAGCGTCTTGCATTTATCCAAAAATTAACCTTCGGAATTATTATCAAAAAGATTTCTTGGATTGAAGATAGGTACTGGTTCTAAACACCCAGTGTAACTCATCCGTCTGGCTTGCTATCATTTAGAAGAAATTAAGAAATGTAGGTGATGTTTTTAGAAATAAAGAGTGTGATTGACGCCGAAAAATCCTTCTTCGTGATCGAAGGTTGTGCGTGTTTTTTTTTTCACTGTTTTTTTTTCCCAGAAAACTGTAATATCTACCGAGCTGATAGGGTCTACAGGTTAGGTTTTGAACGTTCTACTGTGGATTTTGAGTGGTGTTATTATTGGAAACGAACAAAAATGCATGAAAAGCAAATTATCCTGTAGGTGTCTTTAAGCGACGCTTCACCTTTTGATTTATAAGCATGTAAACATAGCACAATCGAAAGTCAACTTGTATTTTAAAAAAAGAAACATGGCGGTGCGTCATTCTTAATTTTGTTCCGCTGTCGCTCTTACCTGTATTTTCATTTGGTTTTCTTTTCTCTGCATGTTGTCCAAGCGATCTCGGCAACTTTCCCACTTACTATATTCTGCAGGATTGAAACCCCATGCCCTCTATATTCTTCATGGTTTAATCTGCAAAACATCAGGTTAGAAATGGAGACTGATTGGTTTTGAAACGACTCAATTACACCGTCATGATATGCCAATTTAATTAAATCAAATGCATCAAATAAATATATTGCCCATTAGAGCTGGCAGTTAAATACCTATTGTAACTTGATGGTCAGCGTGGGAAAGAATGACGCGCTTCGCCGCATGAAACAACCCTACCCCAAAAAAGTTTAAAACATTCTTGGAGCATATACAAAGATACATAACAGTTGAGTGGAGTGACTCTTTTTTTACAAAGTGCATTGTGTAATAATGACCTTTTACGTTCGGCTGACTATTAGTAGGCCTTGCAAGTCAATTATTTACAGTAATTACAATGCATCTGATGTGTCTATTCCTATGACCATGACCCCTGGTATTTGAAAATTCTGCTCATTAAAGGGGCTGTCTTGTCCTGCCTGTGTTTCGATGGAAACACAGGGGCTGTCTTGCCTGTTTTACGACAAGACGAATCATCCTGAAGTCATATTTCATCAAACATAGCTTTTCAAGTTGGGACTGCCAACACAGTACACACATATTTTCAACAAATGACAATGATTTTTGATATTCTCCCAATTTGTGTCAGTTTTGATTATATAGAAATTTGTTCACTTGTCGTAGGTCACGTTTTGAATAAAGACAGATCCTTAATTCGAAAATTTCCCTTCAAGATGGCTGCCTTCTAGGCCTACATGGTCCATATGTAGTCCTGAATTTCGAGCAATGAGGGCGGTGTACTACCACGCCATTTTGTGTGTAGTGAATCCGAGGTCATTGACGCAGTTTACACTGGCTTTTGTACAATTCAAATATTATATTTTTATCTTTAACTTTAATATCAAATTAAAAGTACTAAAATGACTTTAATGAACGACATTTTGCTAGTGTTTGCACCTACAAAATGGCGCCCACATTCGCTCCCCCCCCCCCCAAAAAAAAACAATTGGCCAATTGCACTGCACCTACGTGGCAGAGACACATTAGAAGTTTTTGTTGCGGAACACTTTCCCACTTTCTCTAAACTTATAGACCTTTTGCGTGACGGCCATCTTAGTATCCCAGCAAAGCAAAGGCATTGCCCTCTAAGATGGCTGCCACACATGAGGTCGATGTCAGTATAATTCCCATCGCGGTTCACTGTTCAGCATCTCCTTGAAGGAACACCCTACATCTTGTGTGTTTCTTAAGCCCCTTTCAAGGATGGGAGTAGCAGCTCATTCCTTTGTATGTTGTCATTAGTGATAGCGTAGTGTTCCTGTCGGCACGCACTAATCTGCTTAATATAGGCCTACTTAGTCTTGCGAGAGGTCCCAATGCGCCGTACCGCTGAGCATTGCTAAATTGCTAATCATAAGCCAGGAATGTTTATAACACAAAGGCCATGTCTGGCCCACACACTCCTCGACACTGAAGCCAGAATTCCTTTCACGAGTCCAGCCGTGAAGATATGCCGTTATGAATAAAACGTCTGCTCCTTGCTCTATGATACAATGCCAATGTCAGATAAACCATTGCTGAACTCAATTATTCAGCACACAAAAGATTTATTAGTGCCGTGGCGTGTAGCGCACGTACTGTATTTGTAACCAACTTTTATTTACGGCCATGGCTGCATTTTATAGATATCTTGTATATATAATTGTATCCAAACAACTTTGTCTACTCTCTTATTTACTCCATCCGTCCGACTGAGACGATTCACAGTGAAATATTCTCATCTAAAATTAGAACGATTTTCATTCCAAATCTTTTGATCCTTTAAAAAAAATTCCCATAAGGAAATTAGAGAGTACATGTAAAATACAAAACTGTACCAGAACTTTAAGGCCCGTGCAAAGAAATGTGTGTTCAATGCAATCCTGGAAAATACACCTTTCTGTCCCATTTAACCTCATTTAAAATTTTTGTTTTAATACATTTGGTAATTTGATGCCTTTTGGGTTTTTACACTCATACGAATTTCCACATTCATGAGCAAAACTGTGGTGTCATTCCGGGCAGAAACCTCAATGTTGCAGCTATTTCAGTACAAAAAAATGCTGGAATTGTGATATTTTGCTGGCGTAATTTTTGTTTTCCTTGACAATTCGTGAAGTACATGGCAGCAAGCCAATGAACCCTTTCTCACAAATATTTTTCAATGAGCTAATTTGGGGCTCACAATTTGAACAGAAAACCCCTAAGCTCAAGTGTCTTCCTGGCGTGGCATCAGAGCAACAACGCCCTCAGTTGTCCGGAATTGGAAAGGCATGAACATTTTAAGAAATGTTTAAAAAAGTGCAGTTTTCAATAAACTTTAACAAAAAAAGTGATGTCAAGTAGTTTTCACACATTCTAAGAGGAGCAGAAAGTTGCACGAAATGGGTTCCTAAGAAAAAATGCATTGCTTGGACCACTTAAGAGTATAATGTACCTTGAAAAGCTTGTTAATTGTCAGAATTTATACAAAAATATCCATATTGTGGAATTTTCTAACAGGTATGAGTCAAGATGAGCATTTCTATTTTTCGAATGAAAAATTTACATCCTGTAAAAAATGGGGTCAACCGGAAACATTCAAGCCGCCTTTTTGGCGGTGCGTTCATTAGATAACTGTCTCCTGGTTCCGCTGCGTGTTGTACAGGTCTGGCCTTGAATACTAAAAACCACCAGCACCAACGTCACGGGCACAGAAACGATACTATACATTGAACAATGCTGCGACTACCACCATTGTTGCGTTTTCGTTCGGTTACGCATGATCTTCACTAATTCTGTATCGCCCCAGGGCAATTACTCTGCGTGCGAGGCGGAAAGGTCCACGGTCTTTTCATGTTGCTACGTCGATCATAGGGTTGAAAACCATGTTGGGGAAAATTTTTAGAATGGTAGTTCCCTGAAATTCGGGGGTGATGAATGCATGTGCATGTGTTTGGTGCATGACTTGGGAGAAGTAGAAGTGTCGACTTGGTTTTGGAATACATGTACACATGTATATACACGTGTATACACTGTATACATTACACGTGTTGTGCTGTAGGTCTATGTGGCTGAGACTGGATTTTTTTCAAAGACCCTCTCGAGTGATATAACTGGCTGTGCTTTGGGAACAGTTAACTATTGAGTGGCTGGGAAGGTTCTGAAGCTCGATCGGTTCCTGTTACTGCGAAAATACATTGTTATTTATACAGTGTGTATAGAACTCCATGAAACGCTTTGGTAAGTTTTGGTTCCTTGTCATTTTCTTTTTGCTGGACCCAGGTGAAGCTGAAAAGGCTTGCCGACTTTCCATGACTGACTGAGTCATTGACCGACAGACTGACTCAGTGAGTTACTGAGTATAAATGGAAGTTCTAAACTGAGTCTTTTGTCTTGCTGGCTGACTCACAGACTGACAGACTGACTGACTAACAGATGGCTAACTGTCGAGTCATCGACCGTAAATGTTCTAAACTGAGCCATCTAATATTAATTATTGACCACAATGTTGAATTTCTGGGCTATGTATCCCATCTCTTAAAGCTTTTAATACTCGATAATATGTTACTAGTTTACTGCCGTCTATCCCAGTTTCATGAAATTTAATGTAAAATGTGTATATGGCATTACGGGGGCAAAGTCTAAAGCTACTTGCGACCTAAAGCCTACTTTAATCTTTAAAGAGTTTGCATTCTTAGGGGAAGAGTGCAGCTGCAAAGTACTCATCATTATGTACACAAATTGTTTACGCTCCTTATTTATCAATATAAATGCTTTAATCCATCCTGAAATGAGTTCCAATAATGTGTACATATCGGCCCACACACCACCACAAATAAAATCAACCGAATGGCGTTTAATGGCGTTTCATGATTTTTTTTGCAATACTAAAAGGACATTAAAATATAACTTCCTGTAGGCCTGCGGTTGTTCAGTCTGGTGTCGATAATGTATATTCTGAGACGCCCGCTCTAGCGTTGCCTTGTACTGTGGGAACCAGACGCAGGCACGGGTCAAAGGTCATATCCCCTTGAAAACAGCGACGCTGATTGGAGGAAGATGACACTGAAGTCGAGAGATAGAATACGGCCGGTCTGGTTACAGTTTTTCCTAAAAACAGTTTCCCAGTCACGTAGTACGATTCTGTCAAATACATCGTGCACTAATGACCCTGTCACCAAGCTTTTTTTCATCTGCTGAAAAATTATTTTCGCGAAGAAATCAGATTATTGTTCTTTGCAAGGTAACTGCACTATATTCTTCTACTCTCCATCCACTGTAAGATCTCTGTTTTGTGTAGACAAAGGCTTCCACAGGAACGACATAATATTTGTTAGGTTATAAACCATATAAATCTCATACAAACAAACGAAAGCGACAGTCGTATTCAATAGTGTGATTCTAATAATGCGTGTCGTTTCCCCACAGTACATGTATGTTGCAAACCGAGTAAGTGGACACACATGATTAGGTTCACTGTGAAGGTTCTTTTTCCCTGCATTATATTACCAGGACAGTTAAACAGTACCATAAGCACATGGATAGGCTACATGTGATGTGCGGGGTTTAAATACAGTCGGCATATTAAGTTCATATCATATCACTTCCGTTTTCAGAAGTATGAAAAAGGACTTGTTGGGCTTGCAAATGCCCCCCCCCCCCCCCACACACACACACCCATACTTGTTTCACATGACTAGTGTGGACTTTCCATTGCTTTCGTGTAGTTAAGAAAAACCAGTGAAAAAACTCATTTTTCTCAAACTGTGAAAACTCTTTCAACCCAATTTTTTTTCTATGATTCCCTTTAGTGTTTCTCTTCATTCTGCTACAGATAAACCTAACCCAAAAATGCCTCTAAACCTGTTTTCCAGAAATGGGGAAACACTGTGTGGACGTGGGGCAAGTCCACACAACGTCGGTGCTACCTACATTATGTGGACGTCTTTTGTTCGGAAGTCCACACTGCGTATGTAAGACAAACTCACCCATACACACACCCAAGTGTGTATGAACCTGCAATCCCAGAACCCCTATTGTCCCTCTTTTTGTTTGTGCTCTAATAATTTTTTTTCCTGATAGGAAGACCTCTCATTTGTTTTGTACACGATCTTCAATTGTGGACCTTCGGGAATTGGGGACCCTATTGTCCTCTATTGTTCAACGTCCCCTATTGAATGCCAAAACGAGCTCAGGTTTGTTTATGGTGTAAATCGAGGATTTTCTATTGCTCCTCATCATCGATCTTTAGTTTATTTTTATTTTTTTGCAACAGCTCTCGTTGGTTTTGTACACGTTTTCGAATCAAGGTCGTCCTCGAGTTGGTTCCTGTCCTCAATTACTCAATGATGCTTCACTTAATCAGTGTCCTCGATTTGCACCATAAACACAGCCGACACACAGCTCGGAAAATGTTGCAAAACTATGTGAGTCAAAATGAGAGTGACCGAGTAATAAAAATAAATATAATAAAACTAATATGTGGGTCGCTCTATTTTCGCTTCATTAAATAAAAATGATATAGGAATAGCGTACATGTTATTGACTAGTAACTGTGAAAATTTCACGTATTTTTGGCATACTCCAATAACAAGTTATTCATATTTTTATAGAAACACAATTAACTTCAGCTGTCCACCACTGACCTAAATACCGATACACATCGATGAATACCTTTTATAAATACAATGAAACATGGAGATTTTCCTACCTCCATGAGTTAACGAAAATTTGCAAAGAAAAACCGACAAATAATACCATCATTTCAAAAAAAAACTTGATTGGTTCCTCGTACACAAAACACAACATCTTACATTAAACAAAGATGTTTCAGTCTTGACTCGAATTATTAAAATCTTATTTGTTTTGAATGCTTGTGCGTAATCTCTAGTTCTCACTCATCTGAGCAGCTTCAAAGCATTTGTCATTCCATGGACAGCTTTAAAAATGGGTTCTTTCAGTAAATCATGCATAACTTCTGATAGCATGGATCAATTTCATGAATTTGTTTGTTCACATCAGTGACAGAACATGCTCGTTAAGTACGTATTTCTTTGGTCTAACAAATGTAACTGCTTTTTATAAGGGGGGGGGGAATAACCCGGGTCACATTCTGTTTGACTCACCCTGTACAAAAAATAAAGTCCAGAAATTGCAAATACTTCTATAGGGGAACACTGACGATATGGTAAAAGTGGCACTGGAGGACTGGGAAATCCATTATCTGTAGGGAGAAAACCTTATCTTCTTGACCTGCCGGTCCCTTATGAAACTGAGATTCCGTACGCGTGCCAAGGTCAGGATTTGCCGCGAGTTCGACCCACAAAAAATCCGACTACAGCGAGTTCAATGTTTGAGCGAGAACTTTAGTTAACCATAGTTCGACCATCTTCGATCGAACCCACGCTACTAGTCTACTATATGACGCACGGAGCCCACAGCGTGCTGCGTTTAATTGCTGGTCTGAATGCTGGTTCAAATCCTGGAGGGAATTTTACATTTTTTCCCTAAAGGTGAATTTTCTTCCCTAAATTCTGTTTAATCAAGTTCTGATGATCGATATAATGAAATTCAGCCTTTTCTTCTCATTTATGACTCTGGAGGGTTTTGATTAGGGAAATTGAGTCCGAGAACCATTCCGTTTATACCAACTGACGTTTATACCAAGAACCATTCCGTTTATACCAACTGACGCATGCGCATTATTGATTGCAGAAAAAGTAATTGCAGCCAGGATCACGGGAAGCCCCGTGATGACGTGATGACCGCATTTTGTTATTAAAGGAGACGTTCGCACGTTGCTCCTAGTGCGCAGGCGTAAGGTACGTCACGAGTCAACCACATTTGTCGAACATAAAAAACATTGTCCTTGATTTAACCTGCTCTAAGGTTATGAGATCGGAAGATTATCATTTTGACCAACAAAGTGATCCTTTTGTCGATAGGTTCTATTGACCTCAGGCGTCGGGCCGCGTGCACACTGTGCGGTTAACAATGTCAAGGTTAAAGTTGCTAAAAAGCACTCGGATACGGAGGCCGATGCAAGGACCGCAATCGGGGGGACAACAAGTGTTCCCTAATTGTGTACACATCAATTGAATGCTGTCTGTGATGAAAAAAATACTGTTACCCTTTTACTTCAAAATCGTGAAATACCACTTTTCTTTCTCAAACAAAGACTGTTTTGATGATGGACCAAAGCGCGTATAGATAATACACACTGGCGCCAACACTTGGCGTGCACATTTATCCATCCTGTTCGTTTCAAGGGATATACACCAGGGATTCAACATTATAATTAATTAACGAGGGCTCTTGATGATAACTTTCAAGTCACGGTCGTAAACAAATAGGGAGCGTTTTTTTAAATGTATCAATAACTTCAAGTGAGTCAGTCACCATGACTAGGTTTTTATTTGTTAGTACACAGCTTCACATCAGTACACGATTTCAATAAATTTGTTGAAGAATGGAACCGTGGTCAGTAGCGTGTGTTTCTTTGTTAGCGTTTTTCTTCAAAATGGTAATATGGATATACATGAAACTGTAACTAAATATGTCCAAAATACCAGCATATAACATATTTCATTTGCACTTGTTTTTTATAATTGCTACATATTTTTAATATTTTCTTTAATTCTGACTCACCCTGTATATATATATTACATGCATGATTAAAGGGGCCCATACAATCCTTGAAAATGCAGTCAATTGTGTCCAACTTAACCTTATGTTCGATTTACGTTCTGCTATTTTCAAGGTCATTTTGGTGATTTTGGTTTTTTTTATATTATTGTGAATTTCCATATTCATGAGCAAAAGTGGGATGCCATTTCATGCAGATACCTCCATGCATGTTAAAGCTATTTCAGCACCAATACTTGCCAGAATTTTTAATATTTTGATGTCGTGAATTTTGTTTTCTTTGGTGATTCGATATGTTGCGTCGGTGCATGGTCGTAAGCGAATGAGCAACCTTTTCTCTCAACTGTTTCTGGTGGGTAAATTTTTGGTTTTGCAAACAGAAAACCCCTCAACTGAACAGTGTCTTCCTGAAATAACATCACAGCAACAGCGCCCTCAGTTTGTCCGAAAAAGCATGGGAATTTTTTTTAATATTTAAAGAAGTGCAGTTTGCAATAAAATTGATCAAAAAGGGATGTAAAATAGTTTTCATACATCTAAGAGGAGCAAAAGTTGCACAAAGTGTGTTTCTAAGAAATATTAATATCATGGACGCT